AGAATTTGATTAGTTGATTATTTCATATGCTAACATATTTTTTTATCTTTTTATTTTTCTAAAAAAATGTTATATTTGTATTTTAGATATGATGATTTTTTGTTTTATTAGATTTCATTCTATATAAATTATTAATTTCGAAATTATATTAAAATATTAAATTAATACTAAATATGTTTATGTATATTCAAAATAGATATGTTTACATATATTTAATTTGAATTTAATTGTCCACTTTTTATGGTAAAAGATTATTATGATTTCCATAAATATAGATTGTTTTTGTTTTTGTTTTTGTTTTTTTTTTTGCTGTCATTAATTCTGTTTGGTAACTGATTTTATTTTCATGAAATTTTTTTTTAAAATTGGGGGTGTTTGGCTTAAAGTTGTCCTTCCCAATTAATAGTATAGATTTAAAATCTTTACAAATATGAGGTTATTGGATTCAGAATCATGTAAAGTCATTAGAAGTTTTGAGTTATTCAATTAAAACATAAGAATATTTGATTGTTAATGAATTAAATTATTATGTTATTGGTTTAGGATTTTTAACACTTTTCTTTACAAATTAAAGTCATGGAAAATATTATCAAAATAGAGAGATTGTTGGAAAGAATTTACAAGATTATAGAAATCAAGTCAACAAGATTACTAAAAAAATCTCTAACAATCTTTTAGATGATTTCATTTACATACAATCTATGATTTTTTTACAGTCATCTAAATTATTTATAAGTCACAAACCAATACCACCCCCTTCTTACACACAAACCTAACATTTTTTTTTTATTCAATCTAGTTTTAGTAATTTTTAGGTAGAGTGGTTAGAATATCCTATCAGAGTGCATATCTCTGTTTTGACAAAATTTGTATTGTTATATTAATTCAACTTGATGACTCTTATGTAAGTACAAGCGATTATTTGTTTTATATGAAATAATTTCACCTTTTTTTTCTTACTAATTATTAAAATATATTTTTATTTAATTGACATCCCGTAACAACAAATCACAAAGACACAAACAACAAATTAGATCACCTAATATTAAAAATTATTCTTCATGGATATCTTTTAATATTCCCCAAAAAGTTGCGTGACTACAGACTAGATTAACTTATAGTGATTACAAATTTATCCAAACAAAAAAATTAGTCCAAATTACACTTTGGCAGATCAAATTCATCTAGATTTGATTCACATGATAGAGTTAGGAATTCAACTCTGTTTAGGGATCTTATAAAATACATTTCTCCAGTATATAAATTGAGTTTTGATAAATTGTCTAGAGCGTTTTTTTGGTAATGAAGAACTCACAAGTTGATTTGCCTTACCTTCCTGATGAGTTGTTATTAAACTGCTTAGTACGCGTCTCGAGATTGTACCACCCGATTCTCTCCTTAGTTTCCAAGAGATTCAACTCTCTCGTGGCATCGCTTGAGCTTTATGAGATCAGAAAGCTCGTAGGAAAGACCGAGAGTTGTCTTTATCTGAGCTTACGTTTCAGTTCTGAATCTGACACACGTTGGTTCACTCTATGCCAAAGACCAACTCGAAACCCTAACCCTAACCCTAACCCTAACTCACGATGGTTCACTTCCTGCTTTAGACCACATCGTATCAGCCTAACAAATCACACTATGATCTCAGTTCCAACTCGCAATTTCACTTCTCCTCCGTCTGAGGTGACTCGTATCGCCATTGGTTCTAATATCTTTATGATCGGCGTATTGAACAATGGTGCCTTCTCGTCTAGGATCTTCTTCATGGACTGCCGGACTCACACTTTGCACAAAACTCCAAGCATGAGGACATCGCAAAAGAAACCCTTCATTAGTGTTCTTGATGGGAAAGTATATGTAGTGGAAGGATGCAAACGTCCCGATTACTCGAATTTTATCGAGTGTTTCAATCAAGAAACCCAAAAATGGGAGCATGTGCCAAGCCCTAGCGTGGAGATACGTGCTAGGTACGTATCATCAAGTTTAGTCTTGGATGGGAAGCTTTACCTGTTTGGGAACAAAAGTTTGGTTTACAATCCGAAAGAAAATAAATGGGATGTGGTAGGATTGGAGATGCCTTTGCGTTGGACTCCCACTAATTTTTTTAGCGTAGTAGTAGATAACGTAATCTATTCTTTTGGAAAACGTAGACTTGTGTGGTACGACTCAGAGAGAAGACGGTGGAGATTTTTGAAGGGTTTGAAGAAACTACCTAAATTACCAAGGCAATGTCTTTGTGTTAGATTGGTGGGTTATAGTGGAAAGATTGTGGTTTTGTGGGAGAAGGATGTGCATGATACGGATCCTAACAAGAAGACGATTTGGTGTGCTGAGATTGCGGTTGAAAGGCGTAACGGACGAGGGGTTTATGGGAAGATTGAGTGGTGTGATGCTGTACTTACTGTCCCCAAGTCATGTTCTTTATTGCATTTTATGGCTGCCACTGTTTGATGTAGTTCTGTTTCTCTCTTATGAAACTCTATTTTTGGGTATGTTCGTAATATTTCTCTTGTTTCACTCTGTTTTTGACTTCCAGCATCTCTAGTATATTTGGGATGGAATAACTTAGTTGTGGTGAAAAAGAAACCAACTGTTCCTACACAATGTACTCGAAACAGAGCGTAGATTGAGATTGCGCTTGAACAAACAATGGCCTAATCCAGAGTTCGCAGAGGATTTGGTGGGTTACGATTGCGCTTGCAAAAGGGTCACCAGACAAGAAATATATGGGAAGATCGAGTGCGATGATGTCGTGCTTACACTTTTCGAGTAATATGATATCGTGCAAGTTATTACTGCTACTGTTTGATGAACTGGGGAATTCATGAACCATTCATTGCTTGAGCATGGTCATATCATTTTTGTTTTGAATATGATGATTGATTTTTACAGCTTAAACCATAAAGCTGAATGCATATAAGTAACTTTGCTCTGTTTCTCCCTCTTATAAGAAACCCTGTTTAGTTATGTTTTGCCTTATTCTCGTTGGTTTGCTTCATTCTGTTTTTATCTCCTTACCTTAACAGATACATCCATGTAAAATAAAAAAACAGCTTGCTTTTGAAAGAGTTGTTTCAACTCATGTCATCTGAAGACTTTCAAAAAATCCATCCTTCTTTTCTTACTTTTCAATGTTATCTTGTATATCATACGAAAACCGCAAAGATGAAACACCAAATTCAAAGATGATAAACAGTATACTAGAGAGAGCCAGAGAGCATTAGGTAATAATGTAGTATGTACAACTGAAACGACTAAACACGACAGGTTTTGTAACTTATAATGTAATCTCCTCCCAACAAATACTTTTCCTTTTATATAAAGAAAGATAAAAATAACTTGTAAATTAAAGAGTTTTCTAAGTAGCAGCCGACAGTATGTAACTCTGATATATAATAAGAGCTTAAACTTACTTAACTTAGATCAGCTCAAGAAACAGTGCTTCTTGTTTGCTGGTCAATCCAAGATCGTTCAAGGTAGACTCACTTTCTCCATCTCCAAACGCGTGCCTTGGATATGGCCTCACCTGTTTCACCACACCAAAACTTAGACCGACTTTTTCGGACCTTAAATATCAAGACTGATTTATATAGAACCAAACCAGTCAAGCATATCATTTTTTTCCTTTACATCAGAGCAGTTAACTTGATCGGGTCTGAAGTCAGATCCTTTACTAGTCATTAACTTGACTTGTAACCAGCCCTCACAACATCCTATCTTATAGGGGCGTTCTAGTTCTATATGCCAAAAGATGAGAGATTTATTTATGCTGAGGCAGAAGACTTACCAGTCTGTAAGTGTTGGGTTTCACCACTCTGGCAATGTCTATAAAGTTGAAAAGTGACTGCAAAAAAAGCACAACCAACAGTTACTTACGGATACACTTTTGAGTAATACAAAATAAATCTTATTTTGGGAAAACTAACTTGGAGTTTGTCGGATTTAAGGAACCGGCGGCCACGTCGGGTGCCATCTGGCATCCGGATTAGAAGGGTAATGGCATTCTCTTCATCTGCTTGTGGCTCCTTAGGTAGAGACGCTTCTTTTTCATCTAGCTGCCTCTCTAGCTCCTGCAACAACATTACAGAATCAGTAACAAGATTACTGCCTTTCCTACAACTTGTGAAAACCAGCCTACATAGCAGCCCTAAACCATTTTTCAAAATCACCATTGTATGGTATAGAGATCATCCTTTCTGAAGCAAGAAAAGGGTTTTAAGTTTGCATTGTGGTTGTGGCTGATATTTCTCTATTACCTAGCAGGAGTCTAGGTAACAATTGGCAACTAAGAATTAAGGAAAAGTTGTTGGAACGCAGATTTAGGAAGAGATTATATGTGACAAGCGGTACCCGTTCTTCCTCAAGTTTTCTTTGAGCTTCTTCCTCTTTTTTCTTTTCTTCCTCCAGAAAAGCCTTTCTAGCAGTTTCTTCCTCTAGCTGACGTGCCTCAGCATCTCTAATGGATCGGATTTCTTTATCTCGGTCAGCTTGCAGGGATGCAAGATACTCATCATCCTGCGTGATGTAGCAGCTCAAGAATTTTATCACCACCCATAAACCTCGATAAATAAAGGGGTACTCAAGCAGCTACGAAGTGTTGCCTAACCTGCTGTTCCCGTATTAACCTCTGAGCTGTCAGTGAAGGTGAGGGTGGAACTGGTTGTGCCCTCGGCTGAGGAGGTAAGAAAGGAAGATGATTATATCCAGTTTCAGGAATGCCACCAAACATGGCTGCCTCGAGCATGACAGCTTCATCATGTTCCTCAGACGAAATGCCTCCCCACTTGAGCATACAAAATAGAAAATCAGCAATGACAAGACTAGCTACTATAAATTCTTACCTATAAGTAATACTGGAATTCTAGTCTGGTTTCAGTGTAATTAATTAAACACATTTTATGGATACCTCTGAAGGAAACCCACTGCCACGCTCCGCTGGATTAATACTAGCATGTTCTTCTTCAGGACTCCCACTCCGGGAACGATCAGCGTTAGGTGGAGCCAGAGATCCAGATGCTGCACGTCTTGGCCTGTGTCTAATTAGAGGTTGCTCATCAACATCATCTGAGTCGTCCTCGAATGGTGCGCTAGGTGCAGCCAATCTAGACAACAAAAAATAGGCCTCAATTTTTTTTGACAAACACCAGCAGACAAACAGCTTGATAGAAGTTTTTGCAACTGCAAGTATTAAGCCTCGGAGGTAACACAATAGCAAAGAAATATAGAAAATAACCAACAAACCTTCCATTCAGGGCTTGGGTATCCTGAGGTCCTTGAGTAGCAGTCACTTCAGACGCTCCTATTTCTGAGGTTGAGGCCTTATAACCTTGACTGCGCAAAACTTCTTCCTCCGCTGACTGCACTAACTTATGTTAAAAAGGAATCAAAGAGAGATGGAAGCTAAAGTAAAAGAGAGGAGACAACCACAGACCTTCAATGACATTGTAACAGCTTTTGCTATGTCATCATCATCTTCCATGTGAGGTGATGGCCTCTCTTCAAGCAAAGGGTTATGTGATCCCTACAAAACAATTAAAAAAGCTCATAAAAAATTTGCTAATTCAGTAAGCCAAACTAAAAAAGAAGACAAACCCCAATAGTTCCCATTCTCTTAGAGAAGCTTACCTCAGCCTCCTTCTTTGAGGCCTCAATGGCAGCTCTGATCATTTCTTCTTCAATATCATTGTAATCTTGATTATTATTAGCTACAGAACCAGCAGGCCTGTCTTGCCTACTTTGTCCCATTGGTGCATAAGGAATATCATCATCACTCTCTTCATCTATAATAATAGTTCCTTGAGTAGCTGGACCTTGAACATGAGCTGTTTCTGTCACGTCCTCAATAGTAGGAACATCACTAGATCGTCCTGATGGTCCACTGCTATCCTTAACCTCTATTGGTATCTGCCTAACCTCCCTGGGATGACTAACAAACGGAGGGCGTGGCATAAGAGGATCGCTATCAAATATACGTCTAGCAAAGTCCGAATCCAAAACTGAAAAGGGGCTGCCCATTGTTCTAGCTGCATTGAACATAGATAGAGGAGATTGTGGAGCCGGAATCACATCATCTATATCCATTTCATCGTCATGAGGGGCATTCACCGGTGCTTCACGCACTCTGCACAAAGAGCATACAAACATACCCCACAGAAAAATGATAAATTTGCAAGCTGAGAAAAAGATAACAAATAATCATCAGTGAGATAGATGTCATACACATTTCGATCCCCCTCGCTGAAATATGCATTCACAGCTTGGTTAAGATCACCACGATGTTCCTGCATAAGATTGGAGAAGAAAAAAAAAATCAATTATCCTGATACTAGGATAAATAACATCTGGCAACAATGAGACAACAAAAAAAAACCAAACTTTCCTACTTTCAATACAATAAGCTCTCAAAATTCGAATAAAAACTCAACAATGGTGAAAATCATACAATCATCAACGAGCAGGTAATAAACGCGACAATTCAGGAGAAACCATAGAGCTAAAGAGCAATGTAAACCCTTGTAGAAACCCAAATACTCAATCAGACAATCCAATGACCTAAAAATCCTGAGAATCAAGAACCCTAACCATCACCGATTGAAACAAGTGTGAGATACAATTAAGCATCAGAGTAATCAAAGGATCGAACTTTTCACTTTACCGACTCCTAGAAACTTCCAATACAATAGCATCTCAAATCAAAAACACGAAGAATCGCGAGAAAAAGGGTAGAAGGAAACATAAATCGAGAAGAGTTAAATTCGAATCACCTCGAGTTTCTGAAGGGCGACGGAATCTGAAGCGCCGGTGATGCTGATGAAAGTATCGATTGCTTCCTGATTCAGTGTCGACGCCATAAGAAGATTGGAGAATGAAGAAGAAGAAGAAGCTTTGGTTCGCAACAAACGAAATGATTGTGAAGTTTTCGTCTTTTGGTGTTCTTGGAGTAAGCAAGGGGAAAAGAAAACACAAAAAGATGTTTTTTTTTTCTTCTTGTGAAGAAATTGCAATTGAACTGGATTGGATCGGTGAAACTCGTCGTTTTAAGGTTTTTTTTTTTTTTTTTCTTTTTTTTGGTAATGTGATGATGATTTACTATGTGGAAAAGGTTTGAAGTTTCTCAATGGTTCTACTGGTAATTACTAAAAAGTGAAGGACACATTTTCTTGGTCAAATAACATTTAATTATCACAAGATTTTGAGAAAATTTTGACACATTATCACTATTATATTAATTACTTTCTCCATTTCATAATAAGAGCTGTTATAGACTTAGAATTTTTCTTTTAAAAAATAAGTGTTAGTTTATATTTTCAATGTAAATGTTTCGTAAATTTTTCAGTTGTATTATTATTAATTTAATATATTGACCGGTAGGAAAAATTATATAATATAATTATGAGAGGTTTCCACAAAAAAATATATATATTTATGAGAGGTAAATTATAAAATTTAAACCTAGAGTTCGCTGGTTTGAGTAACGCTTGGGACAACACCATATAATATACACTGGTCTCGGACCTAAGTAGATGTATCGGCTTTGGTTTAGAATCTCTTAGTTATTCAAAAAATAATTATATATATAAGATCTAATGATATTTGTAATTTGTATGAAAAGTTAGAATGACACTTCAATTGAAACGAAAAAAGTATTAATTTTGTAAAAATAAGGTTTAAAATATAAGATAATATAGAATTCTATTTTATATAATCAGATTATACAAATTTTTTAATTTAATTAGTGATAGAATATAAGCAAACACTTTAATTAATAAAAGATAAATAATTAGAGATTTAATATATATAAAAAAAATCAGTACATTCAAAAAAAAAAAAAAACTAAAGCAAACTACACCAAAACCAACTAATCAATATCCTTCTCCATCAAGGAGAGGTTGCAAGAGTGAGTAATCATGGCCGTGTTTTTTACCACTTAGTCTCCGATCAAAGATGAAAGATGTGTTGTTGAAGATCTTCGAGCTGACCTTGTCGCCAGTGACATTTTGCGAGGCTTTTCCGGTTAGTATGTAACGGATTGCGAACTTCACTATGTCTAACGTAAGAAAGAAGATGATGTCGTAGAGCCAAATAATACAAGCCCATCCCCATCCTATTCCCTCCATTCTCGCAATTTCCCAAATCGGGTAAACCGCAACTACTGTTGCAACCTACAAGGTCAAGTTTATGAAATCATTAATGAGACTTTACAATGAAGAGAACATAATCATGTTTTTTTATATGCTTACACATTGTGTTGCGGCGAAAGAGCAAAGTAAGAGCGGTCTAGGTCGTTCCACAAAAGACCAGCTTCTCGATCGAAGGACGAAGATGAGAGCTTGACTCATAATGCTGACTTGTAAGTATAAAGCAGACATCATCTCATGTTCGTTGCCTCTCAAGTCACTCACATGGAACATTCTCTATGTAACACAAGTTTGAGTTTTATATTATTGCTTTGTGTTATGTTGGATATTTGAAGTTAGGTTTGTTAATACATACCGGGAAGAAATCGGTTTTGTATGCACCCCAAAAGAACAAAACAGTCACTAAAGCCATGTAGCCTCCAAGAACAAGTCCCGTTGCGAAGATCTGGTTTAGTTTCCTGCTATCTGGTGTAGGAGAAGGCATCTTGACTTTTTCAGTTGAGAAAGTCAGGATATTGTATGGTCCTGTTGAGTAATTAGCAATGTTTATTATCAATTCTCTGTCTTTTAGAGCAAAATTGAGAAAGTTCTTAAAGATTGAAAAGTTTAAAACTCACCATCGTTTAAGAGTAAAATGGCCAAAACCATGAGTGGTGAAATGTCAAAATTCCATACTAAAGCGATGAACATGAACCCAAACTGTAAAAAAAAAAAAACAAAGGCACAAAGAGTAATGATTATAATTATTTGATGATGGTAAAGAAAACATACAAAGATTTGATTAAACTTACCACAACACGGATGGTCATTGAAACTGCATAAACCTGTTTAAAAGACAACATCAGTCATCAGAACAAAACAAGTGAGAATTGGTGAAAAAGGCTGTGTAGTTTTAATAAGAGCATGCACACTTACTGTGTGGTATTTCATTATTTGCAAAGTAGCTCGACTGATCAGAACCGCGTCGATGATAACACTGAGTCCAGGCTCCGTAAAAACTATATCAGAAGCAGCTAGTACAGATTCAGAAGCACCCGCAACAGCGATACCAATATTCGCTTTCTTCATCGCGGGAATGTCATTCACTCCATCACCAATGATACCACAACTATGCCCCATCGTTTTCAACCATTCTACAACTTCGTATTTGTACTCTGAAATGAATTTGGTAAGGAAAAAAATAAAGATTAGTAGTTGTGACAGAGAGAAAGTTTGTAATTCGGAACCAAGTCTTAAAACAAACCTCGTAAGGCACCAGCAAAGCCATCAGCATTCTCAATCAACTTATCAACAGGAAGGTGGTTATTGAGTAAAGAAGTGGATGGGTATATGTTTGTTCCCATACCAAGTATACGTCCAGTCTCTTTCGCGATAGCAATTTGATCACCTATAAAACCAATGGAAACATAAGGAAGAAATCGAAGATATAAAGTCGGTGTTTCGCAATATGACAAAGTCGGAAAATAAAAAAGTACCGGTAAACATCTTCACTTTGACACCTAGGTCTAGAGCTTTTCTTATGGCTTCTGCACTATCATGTCTTGGAGGATCAAACAAAGGCAATACACCAACAAGTTCCCATGGATCACCAGAGCTTTCTTTTGTTTTCTCAGGTACATTCTGTAACAATGTAACAAAAAAAAATTACATAAAGTGTATATACAGAAAATTTTGTTGCAAGATGTAAAAGATTTTGTCACCTGTCTTGCAACAGCTAAAGAACTGAGTCCACGCTCAGCGTACTTTCCGATTGTAGAGTGGACATTCTTCCTCAGATCAGCACTTGCGTTGCAGAGATCAAGAATCTGAATCATCAACAAATTGGTAAGAAAAAAAAAACAGAACTTTACCTAAAAGTAAAACAGAATCAGTTTTAGTTAATTACCTGTTCGGGAGCGCCTTTGCTTACACGATGCCAGTTTCCGTTACAATCGATATAAGTTAAAGCGGTTCGCTTAGCAACTGGATCGAATGGGAAGAAGTGAACTTCTATAATTCCATTTCTTGCCTGACAATGAGAAAAAACAAGCATCCGTGTTCTTCAAGAAAAAAAAAACAGAGGAAAGACAGAGCATTAATATTTACTATAGTTACCTCTTTTGGATCAGTTAGCATTTCAACCATAGCGGTATCAAAAGCATCTTGATCCTTTGTTCTTGAAGCTCTTGCAGCGAGAAGCAAAACTTGGTCTTTATCAACGTCTTTAGCATAAACCTCAATGAGATTCTTGTCAACACTAAGCTTGTTGAGAGTCAGAGTCCCGGTTTTGTTGCTGCATAGAACATCCATACCGGCCATATTTTCAATGGCGGTCAACCTTTTCGCGAGAGTTCCTTGGTTACATAACCTAAGGAACCCATTATTCATTGTCTTAGATAGAAGAGAAGGCAGTGTAATAGGGATCCCACCAATCAAAAGAACCAGAAGATTGTCGAGCACGTCTTTGTAGGTTCTTTCCTGGATCAGGCACATCACAATGAGCTCAATCACAATACCAATTGCTATAGAGATTATGCAGAATTTTCCAACTTCAGCTACAACTTCATGGAAATGTCCAACTCGGTTTGTTGTACTGTCGGAAAAAAAACCCGCATAAAGCGTGTGGACTCCAGTGGAGATCACAACCGCTTCCATCTCACCGTGCTTGCAGGTAAAACCGGAGTGAACTACATCTCCTGGACCTTTTTTTATGGGACGGGATTCTCCGGTTACAACAACTTTTAAACCATCTCCTTCGAGAAGACGTGCATCGCAACTAATGATGTCACCTTGCTTAATTCTCACAACATCTCCCGGAACAAGAACTGAAGCTTCTTGCTCTGACCATTCTCCATCTCTTAGAACCTTTCCAAAACAATAAAGAAATATAAAAGGTTTAAGATCATAGCCTCAAGATTGTATATAACCTTACTTAAGACACTATATGAAAACAAAGCTTATTATGAAGAACACCTTTGCTCTGGGAGAAAGACAAGCCATTAAAGAAGCAGCCAGATTCTCAACATTGGCTTCTTCGAGATAGAACTGTATTGTGTTGTACAGCAAAAAACATACAACACCAACAAATAATAGCCAACCCGATGACCCTCCTCCACCGATAGCCAACGCAATAGCCATGATTGCAGCTGATTCCATGACTAGAGATAAAGGCTTAGTCATTAAACCAAAGAACCTGTCCACTTTGCTTTCCTTATGTGAATTAATTGGAACCACCAAAAACAAAAAACATATAGTTAGCTAGTGATCATCATAAAGATGAAGCTAACAAATAAAAAAAGAAACTTATATGGAAGTTTTGGTTTACATTGTTGTCCTCGATTTTGTTTGGTCCAAAGATCTCGAGTCTTTTTTCTACTTCTGCTTCAGATAAACCTTCTCTGCTGCATTCCAAATGCTTGAAAACATCTTCAATTGGGATATGCTCCTGCAATATATGACATGAACATCATCCAATTTATCTAGTGTAACTTATTCTTATTAATTCTACACATATATAACAACTAAGTATGTATACTTTATTCAAGTCCAATAAGATTATATCTTTTATCTTGATCATATGTACACAATCTTACATATACAAGTTTTTAACTTTTTACCGAAGAAAGAAACTCAATACGCAATTTCTCATAGATATTTTATAAGTTTAGGTAACGTCTCAACATATTTAGAGACTAATATAATGATGAAACAATTACTTTATAATTTGTAGACAACTACTTAAACCTAATTGTAACATAACTCTCCGGTGATTATAGACTAGAAGAACTGAAAAATCTAGTTGAACAAAAAGTTCAAAACGATCGAATCAATATAAGGAGAAGAACTTCACAGGCTACAAAAAAAAAAAGAATGTATAGAAACCCTAGTTTAATCGAATCGTTAAGTAAGAAAAAAAAAATACTAATCTTTGTATAACGTATTTTTTCACTAAACAATCGAAATTAAAAGAAGAAATTGATACCAAATCAGCAATAAGAAGATCCTCGAGAGAATCATGAGTCGCCATCTTTACTCTCTTCTTCGAAGTAAAAGAGGAGGTAAGTAAAATACTGCAAGCGAACTACGTTGATTATATTTGACCTTCTCATTAATCGAGTTTATTATATATACAACTCATATCTAATCGTAGATACGATATAAAAAAAAAATTAATCCTTTTTTTTTTGCTCGAGATATAAAAATTAATCTAGGATATATAGTATCAAGGCGATCTTATCAAATTAATTAAGGATTCTACAAAACTCAAAACTCTAAAATAAAGTTGTCTTTGGTTTTAATTTTTAACTAAATACGTCATTATCTATTTTTTATTATATTTAACTATACCATTCAAATTTCAAATCCACAATGAATAATCGGGACATGTTGTTATTAGCAATTAATTTATCATGGTAAATAAACAAGCACATTACAATATATGCAAATTCAGAATAATATCCCTATACAAATATACATACAATATATGTTATAGTGTAAAAACCATAGTCACATCACTAGATTCTCGCTTTACGTATTTGCAAAGCTAGAGTTTTATAAGTTTTAGCTCTCTCGGAGCCTTTGTCTCTTCCGTCTTTCCACATGCACATCACGTGGCAGGACGATCCCGTGCTTGGTTCGTCTACGCTGCTTCTGCTTGCTATCTTTATGTACTCGGTGAAGTTGGTGGTAGTAGTGATGAGACTCGTTGTGGTCACGTTCAAGCATTCTCTGCACTATGTCATCGTTTTCTCCACGATGGTGTTTGTGTCTCTGTTGTGTCCTAGGATGGGTTTTGACACCATGCCGATGCTTGTGATGGCGATGGTGATGATGGCGGTTCAGGGCGTCTTCTCTGGTTGGTGATGATCTTCGATGATGGTCTAAGTCGAAATGATCTTCCCACCAGTCGTAGAATGGATCAAATAGTCCCTTTTGGTGTAAGAGCCAGAGCAGGACACAAGCTGTAAGACAAAACCTGTTAATTTGGGATATTAAGTTAGTGGTTTGAGGTTGCGGTCGGGGTTTAAACGCTTACTGGTTGGGAAAAGAGCGAGGAGAAGGCCGAACATAACCATCCAGCTCAGGCAAACGTATTGAATGTGGCAGCTGAAGTCGAAGAAGCTCGAGCATTTGTTTCTGCACAGATGATTGTTTTCAAGTTATCATTATTATTCCCAAGGAAGTTATTAAGTTAGGAGAAGTATGTAACCTGCAAGTGTCTCCGGTTATGAAATCGACTAAACCATTGATGATTTTAGTCCATAGTATCCTAATCGATTCAAAGAAGCCTTTAGGATACGTCTCTGGAATTTGAAATGGATTAGTAACCTGCATGTTAAAGATACTGGTAAGTTAATGATCAACATGTAAAACTTCAAGAAGGATCATTTAAATTTCAATGTAGAGAGTAACCTGAGTTCCATTTTCGAGTACGGTGGCCGTAGTGCTGAATTGGCACTCGGCTCTGTCTACTTCAGTGAACTGAGAATCCTTGAGTATAGCTATACAAAAACTAAAAATGATCAATGTTGATGCAAGGAAGGACTCAGGGCATTTGTAAGATATGAAGGATCACCTGTGCATATATACTTTGCAGCCTGATCTTTCGTCGGGTACAACTTAAAAGATCGAGTTGTAACAGCTTTTGGTTTTATTATGAAGAATTGCTCCTGACAACAACAAGATCAGTTTGTAACATTCTTCTGATAATGCTGCTTCTTAGAAGATTAACTGAGAGTTAGATACCTCAACGAAGGCCACGCCTTTAGAGCAATCGAACTGCACATGAGGAAACAAGATGCGATTAATATATCAAAGAATCTTTCTAGTTCTAGCTATCAAACTAATACATAATATTAAGTTTTAAATATTACCGTTAAGCTATAAGATGCTTCTACTTCACCGGTATTCTTGATTGTGACAGCAGCAACTCCAAATTGGGTAAGTGCCTCGAACGTCGGTATAGCAATGTTTATGATCTTACCAGGACTCCTGCAACCACAGAAAAAAATATTTACTTTTACTTGGTAATCAGCATTTCAAGAAAGTTTTTAGACTTTTTTTACCTCTGGAAAACGTATTCAATATCATCAGCTCTTAGTTCTATCATAAGATTTGTGTTGAGTGTTTCTGTCACTCCTATGGAGAACGAGTGAGGCCCCGCGTTCTGTATCATGTAAAGGAAAATTCAATAAGCCGAGATAAAATCTTATGTTCTACTGATTCAGAAACTAGTAAAGTAAGAACATAACTGGATGTTGATTGATCCTCTCATATCTTCCTTCCAGTCCATATAAAGGAAGTTGGTGTCGACTGATCCGGTTTATATCTGCCTGAAATAGACTTGGTATTGGTGAAACAATGACGCAAGTAAGGTGTAAGAAAGCTATAACATGTAAATATTAACCTCATAGAAGTTCCATAATTGATTATGCAAGCAACTCCAATATGGTGAAGAGCAGAAATTTGGTTGGCTGTTGAAAGCTTCATAGCCAACACCAATTTTATTACATTCTAGGCCATCCAATGTGAATCTCACTCTCTCAAGCAGCATCCACATTGAGTAATTTGCGCCTAAGTTCCCTGGTTGTCCCTCTGTAGCCGTCTTTTTACACCGAAAGAAATCATTTAGCATTCACAGAGCGGTGCAAGTAAAAAGAGTTAAAATGGGATAAGCAGTTAAGTTACCTCTCTTGGGATTACAAGATAGAAGTCCTCGAAAGAAGGAATACTTGTGTAACCAGCAAAGTCTCCAATGAGATTAACCTTGAGGAAATTATCATTTGCAGTAGCTGTTCTGTTTTCAGGACCAATGATCACTTCCTGAGATAACAAAAATCAATCATAAGGCTGAATAAAATCGGGAAAAAAACCAGCTTAAATACTGGAAACATACTGAAACTCTAGTTCCTGTCTTCAACTCAACTCGCACGCTAAATCCTAGTGACCGCTGTCCAATACCGAAAACATGAAACCTAAAGGAGAGAAATGAACAAGAGTAAGAGCACAAAACCATGAAGATAAAGAAACATACAATTTGATTTTATCATGTAAGGATCCATACCAGTCACCTGGAAAACGAAGGCAATGCGCAGTATTTGCCTTCCCTTTTATCATCTTGTCAACTAATCAAACTCAAGAGAAGGAAATTGAGTGTCCAGATTAAGCTATATTCATTATAAAGAAACAAAAGGAGGGACTGTTCTGTTCAAACCAAAAAGAAACACATACAAATATCTCCACAAGACGAAGGCATTCTTCGCTGCGGTCCACATGGACAACATGTTGGCTGAGTCTGTTCCAACACATTTCCGTTCTCATCCCTCAACCTGTAAGATTATCTCATCAAAAAACAAACAGTTAGTCTTCAGATTACGGGGAACAAAATCGCAATAAAAAGACCGTTACTCGCAACATCTATCGTACACAACAAGAAGGAGATCATACAAAGAACAAGAAGAGATTTTTAAGCATATACATACCTCTCACACATCTGTACAATATCCGGTCCAGCATCAGGCTCGCACTTTCGAGTCGTAACGTGATACTCTTGAGGTTTGTAAGGTACATCCTAAAGCACACATATCAAGTGAGTCAATCTCTTAATCAAACCAAAACCCAAAGACTATAGTATAGAAACACAAACTTCATACCCTAATGTAAGTAAGATCATATAAAGCATATGCTGATGATTTATTCACTGTGATAACCGGTGGAATCCGAACTGTTTGCATATTACTACTCGAATTATCTTCAACCTCCACAATCTCCGCTACAATCGAAGCTTCTCCTCCACTCTAATTTCATCATTAAAACCCCAAAATTTGATTGAAACTCAAATTCGTAGAGAACAAACAGAGAAATGTAAAATTAGGGTAAAAGAAGAGTTACGGATCCACTGGGAACAGCGAGGTTCAAGACGATCTTAGTGGAACAATTGAGATTACCAGAATCTGATGTTTTCTCACACTTCTCTAGCTTTGATTTCGACAGAATCTGGATCCCGTCGACTTCGTTAACCATTCCGACGAAGATTCCGATGATTACACAAGCCATCGCCACCGCGTTCACCATCTCAGAGAGAAGCGAACTGAAATTTTGGTGTTTTCTTTTGAAGAACTGCTTCGTCTTTCTTCGTTTTTGACTCTTTTTGTTGCTAACGGTTGCTTTGGTTTTATAATTTCAATCCACTAAATTCAAACCGGTAATTTCACAAGTGAACCGAACTAAACCAAAACATTCGACACTTGGATTTAGACACGCACGAAGCCCAACAACTTTCAAAAAGCCCAATTAATTAATTAACCCAACATAATAAACCAGAATTGAAGATCACGTGTTTTTTTTTCCTAATTATTTTTTTAAGTTCATCCCCAAATTGTCGTAGTCTATATACTTAACACAATGCGTTTATACGTTCTTGTCGTTTGTCCTTTTCATGTCCCTTAATTAAGAGCTTCTTAATTACTTACAGAAATATTATAATTTAATATTTCTGCATGTATATGACGCAAATGTCAAAGACCCTGTAGAATCTTATTTCTTTTTGGTCGGTGTAGAATCTTATTTCAAAATATTAAGTATGAATAAAAGAGCAATAGATATAAAAAGTTAATAAAAAATATGAAGACTAATCCACATTCACGGTACCTTGATCCAATATTTTTTTGGTAAAATTAGATTCTTTGAAACATATATAAGTGGACAAAACATCGAAAAATGGAAATTTTAAATTGAAATAACTGAAATCAAATTTATTTTAACCGATAGAAATAACTGACTCGAATTTATTTTGTAAGTCTTATAAACCATAACTGAAATCAAATTTAAACAAAACCAAAAAAAAACATAAACTAATAAATCGTTTAGAAACTTAAAATTAATTACATTGAATGCATTGTTATTACAAATGTTAGAATTGAAACTGAACTGATCACGGAAGTTAAACTACAACATTTCTCTTGCACTATATAAGAAATGAGTTCTCCAATCTTTAGACCAAACAAACAAAACAAGAAAAGTAATCTACAACTATGATAAAAGCAAAAGAGTTAACGTTTGTGATGTTTGTG